GAGCAGAGGGGTGCCCAGCCAGCTCCCCTCGGAATGGGACCCCGCCGGTGGGAAGACAGTTCCCAGGGCTGGGGGGCGGGTGCTCTCCTCTCTTCCCACGCCCACCACACCGCAGCAAGGATGCCCCCGCAGCAGCCTCTGCCAGCCGGAACGAGAGGGCACGTGCCGGAGATGCTTCTCCCGAAGTCGACGAAACCGCAACGCACACAGAAGGCGAAGGCGCGTCCCGGCGGCCCCCGCCACGTCGCCATCTGTGCCAGCCGGCCAGCACAGCAAAAGGCAGTCGAGCACCAACAAGGGGGGAAAAACCCCGGCGTGGCGGCAGCGGCCCGCGTGCAGACTGCCTGAGAGCGGCATCCTCCGCCCACAGCAAACTGTTCTGTGCGGAGAACATCTTGCGCCTGTTCCAAGGCAGTCTGGAGCTTCAAAAGCGCATCGTGTATTTACTCCTGCCAGGAGGGAGCAGGGCCTGACGGAGGAGCCGCGTGCTCGCCGCCTCCGCTGCCTTTTCCCTGTTGGAAGACGCAGCCCGGGAGCCGAGGCCCCTGGGCTTGCGGGCGCCGGGGCCCAGGACCTGTCCTCTGCTCCAGGGCGCTGCCGCGGGAGAGCACGGGGCGTGCCAGGGGCTGCTGAGGGCGCCTCTCCACCGCACCACCCACGGGCCTGAGGTGGCGGGGAGGCCCCCAAGCCAAGGAGAAGGGAACACGCAGAGCGGCCCTGACCGTTCCTGCGGAGGAGCGCCGAGAGCCCCGCTGGAGGAGGCCCAAGCCCATCTCGCTGGATGCCTCCAGCACAGCATGGATGCAGCTGGGGAGGGCTGGTGTCCCGGCCGACCCTGGCCCTTCTCCCTTGAAGGAGCTGCGTGTGTGGCCCTTGAGGCGGCCAGGAGGGGGGAGCGCCGGAAGCGCAGTGGCTGAAGCGCAAACTCGGAGGGGCCAGCCCGGCTTCCGGCCAGGCGAAGGCCCCTTCCAGCTGCCGGGTGTGAATCAGCGCATGCCTCCTCCTGGGCACCCCACTGCAGTGGGGGGGACGGAAGCACACCATGCCCCCAAGTCCCAGCTGCGAATGCTTTGCCTCGCCCCACTGCCTCTCCCCAAGCTGCTGGGGAACCCGAGAGGTGCGCATGGGTTCAGCCAGCGACACCGAAGCTCTCTGCTCTCCGTCACAAAGCACCCTCTGCCCTGAGTCTGCAAGCTCTGGACTCTCTTTTCCACAGGAAAAGCTGTGCGTATTTTCAAGCACGTTTTTCCAACTGGACACATCTGTGTCCACACCTTTGGAACGTGCCCATTCTTCTCTCCTTAATTCCCGAGGCGCGTTTCTGAGCATTTTTGAATATTACACTTTTTAGTGCATATTTCTCAAATTTATGCCGGTCTGCCAAGCACACTGCAAGCTCCGCTGGGCTGAGATCCAGTCCAGGCTCAGCCGGGAAGGTGCAAACTGTTCATTCTGATCAAAAGAACGGAAAGGCACCTCTCCTCCTTGGATCTGCCCTGTAGCTGCTATAAAAGCCGGGAGCCAGCCGCATCGCTCGCTCCCCCGTGCCCCTCCGCTGTCCCGGGCTTTTGCGCCTTCGCTTCTCCCCCCCCTTCCCTTCCATCACTCCCGAGCGCTCCGTCTCCCTTCGCCCACACAGATTTAAAAACAACAACAGAAAACAGGATGGGAATAGAAACAAATTGTACGCGTTCATATTGTAAGCCTGAATGGGCAAGTGTTTTGTGGGTTTAAAAATAAATAAATAAAGCCAGGCACTTGAATAATAGCAACTGTTTTGTGTGGCCCGGTAACGAGGAACATGGGTGTTGGGATGGATGTACAGAGGGAATAGGGAGAGGGAAAGTGTTCTGGTGTTTTCTCTTCTACCTGGCAGGGGGAGGGGGCAGCAAGGGGGCCTTCCGTTTATTTATTATTCCCAGCCTTCCTGCTGGGCCGACCGTTGATGCACGGGAGCAGGTGTGCAGATCGGAGCATCTGTTGATGCGGTGCAGGGGTGATGCGCCAGGCCCGGCAGCACGGTGGGGGCGTGGAATGGGGAGGCCAGAAGAAAGGGCCGTTAAACCAGTGGGGCGCCTTGGTGGCTTCACAGGAGGCCCCGCTGTGGTGGGGGCGTGGGTGCCCGAGGTGAGCTTGGCGCCCAGCGGGGCCCGCGAGGCCTGTGCACTCCTCGATCGCGGCAATGCGCTTCCCCCTGCTTCTCCGCCTCCTTCGCTCCCTCCGCTGCAGCCGAGCCTCCAGCAAAGCGGAGGGGCCTGCACTGGCCCCCGGAAGGGCTCCTTCCCAGAACGCCCTGCGGGGCTGTGGGCTGCGCCACCAGAGGATGGAGAGGGGCTGCGGAACTGGGCACCATTAAAAGGGGAGCACTGGGCTACCACGGGCCACTTCCAGCACTGGGGGGGGGGGGGAGCTGGGCAGGGGGTGCGTGTCGTGCTTGTGCTTGGACCCTGCTTGGCTGTTTCTGCGGGCGTCTGGCTGGCCACGGGGTGAAACGAGCACTAGAAGAGATGCTCCCCCAGGCTTCTTGTGTTCCAGGAGGGTGTCCCATTATCCCAGTTTTCTTTTCCCTGATTGGCTTCGCTCTGGAGACTGTTGGACTACAACTCTCAGCATCTGTGGTCTAGCCAGTTGGAGGATGCTGGGAGTTGTAGCCGAACAACATCTGAAACGTAGGAGGAGGAAGAAGTCTGCTCTAGGACAACAGCGATTCTCATGATGAAGGAGAAGCTGTTAGAAGGAGAAGAATTCGAACATAGAATCCTAGAATAGCAGAGCTGGAAGGGGCCATGAAGGCCATCCAGTCCACCCCCTGCTGTTGCAGGACACCAAGTCACACCATCCCACTCAGGTGGCTGTCTAGCTTCTTTTTGAAAGTCTCTGGTGTGGGAGGGCTCCAATGAAATCTGTACCAAGGGAAAAATCGAGTGAAGACTTTCCCATGTGCAGCTTCTAAGCCATCACTGACTGGCAGGTGGGGGAGATTTCCCAGGTCAGAGCAGCCCTCCACCCTGCCTAGATTTCTCCATCCCCACACAGGGCAAAGTCGGGATGGGTCGAGCACCCTCTGAAGGACCAGTCCGGGGTGGCAAGTTCTTGTTCCCGCAGATTGTGCTGCAGAAAAGCCGGCGTCAAGGCAGGTTCCCACTGAGGGTGCGTCATGCTGGACTCTGGGGCAATGCACATCTGCGTTCTCGCCCCCACCCCCCACCCCAGAGCGTGGGCTCTTGCATTCGGCACCTGCGTTTGCTTCCAGCCTTCAAGGTCAGCTCCGCATCGAGCGCATTCATGCAGCGCGGAGGTGTGTTGTTCGCTACAAACGCGCTTCTTGGCAGATGGGTGACCGTCGACCCCGGCTGCTAATGAAGCTTCCCAGCATTCATTGAGGTCAGCACCATGGACCTTGTGGAATGCCAGAAATAACGGCACAGGTCCAGTTCCGCGGGGGAGCACGGAGCAGGTGTGCAAGCGCGGCTGTTAACGCCACACTCGTGCACAAAAGGCACGGCAACCGAACCGTCAGGCTGCCAAGCAGCCCCAATTCATCTACACATCCATTTAAGAACATAAAGAACCTAAGATCAGCCCCGCCAGATCAGCCCCGGGTCCGTCAGCCCAGCGCTCCCTTCGCACAGCGGCCAGCCAGCGACCCGTGCGAAAACCACGAGGACGTGAGTGCCACGCCAGGCTGCCACCCGTGTCCCCCAGCACGCCTGAACATCGGCCCGCTGTGCCCAGAACTAAGGGTTGCGTGGAGCCATGAGGGCCGGGAGCCGCTGGCAGCCGTTTGTCCAGGGATCCCCCAATCCCCTTTTAAGGCTGTCCAAACGGGGAGCCATATTTTGTATCGTTAAACCATCCCAAGACTTCGGTAATGGGAAGGCCGAGAAATTCTTTAAATAAATGGCCACATCTCATACAAGCGAATTTCGTAGCGCAGCTGCGCACTGTGTGACGAAGGGCTTCCTTCTGCTCCCACTGTGTGGGACGCCCCCTTGAGGCCGGGTATTATGGGGCAGCCAGAAACATGTCTCCTCTTCCGCTCTCTCCACACCAGGCGTAGGTCTGAACGCCTCTCGCCTGCCTCCCCAGCCTGCCCTTTTCTAGGCTAAGCAATTTCGGTTGTGGTAACCTTTCGAAATTAGGATCCGCTCCAACTTTCCACACTTTTTCCGATTCTACGATATCCTCTTTCGGTGCGGCCACACTAACTGAATGGGGAAATGTCACCCTGCCACATATTTGTCTGAGGGGAGGATGACATCGGCGGGGCCCGTTTTACGTCTGTTCCTAATTGTGCCTGATATGAAGGTTGCCTTTTTCACCACAGCTGCGCACCGGGCCGACATTTTCATCAAGCTGCTAAGTTCTCCTTTTTGCTCTGTCTCTGCTGGCTCAGATCCCTTCAGCCTATCCTTGAAGCTGGAATATTTGGGCCCAAAGTGCATCGTTTGACAACCGGACGTTCCTTCTCCCAGTTCGGAGAGATCCTTTCGGAGCTCCTCTGGGTTGTGGCCATTCTAAATAGTTCGTTGTCACAAGCAAACCTGGCCACGTCACCGCTTACCCCTAATTCACGATCATTTATGTACAGGTGGGGTCTAGTCTCCACCTGGATCACGGGGCGACTCCGGCCAAGTCACCGACTCTCCGCCTGGTGACCTCGTGAGGTCATAAAGAGGATCATGAAAGCCGCCAGGGACTCTTTGCCAGGAGAACAAAAGCATGGCATAATAATACCGATGCAAATACGATAATAAACTCGGTGACGGTGCTGAAAAAGAAACAGAAGTGTGCAGTGTGGTTGACACTGTACACAGAGCAGCTCTGAATACCATATCCTTGGTGTCCCTCACAATCGGTTGGACAAGCAACGGGTGTGCACCACGGAAGACTGCGCGTGGGTTTCACAGGAAATAATTAACCGCTTCTGCCGCTTCTGCGTGTGCCCAGGACTCATTTGGCTGATTCCCTGCCTTCCGTCCCCCAAACGGAGCTCTCACCTGCTGAGTCCGGGGCTTGTAGGGGGAGCTGCTCTCCAGGTCGGCCAGGATGCTGGTCAGTGAGTCAATTTCTGCATCCAGACTGGAGCGTCTCTCCTCCAGAGTTTTGCCACCAGGTTTGGTCTGAAAGAGGAAAGGAAAAAGGCCCCCCCACCAAAAAAATAATCATTAAATGGCTCGATCCAGAGGCAGGGCTTGCACCATTTTCATCACGTGGAATTGCTTTCCCGCTCCGCTGGAAGGAGCCCCTGCCTCTGGGGAAGACGCAGAGAAGCTGGAAGGCAGCCGTTGACTGCTGGAAGTGAGGCAACGGAGATGAGGGTGGGGGCACACGCACGCACGCGCACGCACAACAAACTCCGTTGCACAACCAGTCGGGCTGTTTTCAATTTTCGGGCTGTGTCCTCCCCCACCCTCTGGGTTTTTCTCCTGAACTGCCAGCTTCACACATGGGTGAAGCCACATCCACTTGCTCAGCTGCCATGAATTCTTGGGCCAGGCTGGAAATCACAGGAGCTGAACTGACTCCGAAGGTGCCTGTGCCCACCCCCACCCGCTTTAAAGGGCAATCACTACCTGCCTCCTGCCCCCCCGCCCACCCTCACGCATAACGTGGCTTCATCACAAGTACCTGAGACAGGTCCCCCAGCGCTCAAGGGCCTGCCTGGGCTGCTTGCTGGCCTGTGGCCCCCGGTCTGCTCTGCACCCCCCCCCCCCCCGTGCCTGCGGATCAGAGAAACCTGTGGAGACGTGCAAAGCTCGGACGGAGAGGAAAGGCAGCCAGGCAGCGTGTGGCGGGCCCACGCTCGCGGAGAGGGACGGCACAAGGGGACGGGTGCAAGCCGCGGGCCGACTGGCACGTGGGCCTGGAGACGCCTGGGCGCGGCCCCCCTGCCCACCCAGTCCAGGGGGGCAACCTGAGCCGCCAGGGGCCTTCCAGGACCCCCGCAGGAAGCAGGGACTCTCGCAGCCCGGCCTACAGACACTGTGGGCTGGCCTGGGACGGGCGACGTGTGAGGCAGTGCCTCGCGCCCCCGCGACGACCCTGCATGGTAGGCCCAGGCCACTGGGTGCAGCTCCCCTCCCCTCCCTCCCCCCCACCATGTGTTGAATTCCAATCAGGTAAATGGGGTTAACCTATTGAAAGGCAGTGTGGTATAGTGGTTAAAGTTGGGCTAAGACCTGAGAGATCTGGGTTCCCAGCCACTTGGTCCTGAAGCTCGCTGGGTGACTCTGGGCCAGCTGCTGGCTCTCAGCTCAGCCCACCTCACAGGGCTGTTGTGAGGAGAGCACGGAGAGGAGGGGGCCAGGCCAGCCACTGGCGCTCCTTGCAAGGGATGAGGAGCGGCCTCCCGGGGGGGGGGGGGGGGGGCGGGCGGGCGGGGAGGGAGGGCTGCATGAGAGAAGGGCTCCGGCCATTAATTCTCCTGGCCGGACAGCAATCCGCTTTTCCCATGCCGGCACGGTGAGCACGAGGCCTCGGGGACGCTGGTGCATCTGCGCATGTCGGAGCACCTTTGGGCCCGCTTCTGGCGGAAAAGGCCAACCGCCCGGCCACCCCCCGCGCTCCTCACCACGGCCGCCCGGGGCCCATCCAGGGAGCACCGCTGCCAGGAGGCATGGGAGCAGCTCAGGATAGTGCCCCCTTTAATTAATAAAATTACAGCTCAGAGCTCATTTCCAATAATTATGGGCCACTGCCGGAATGCGATGTTTCTCTGCCTGCTCCCACCCCCGCCGACCTTAATCTGGTTCCAAATGCAGCATGAATTAGCGTTCAATTAGCCATTAAATGGAATTAGCAGTCTCTGATGGCAACGTGGCACGGCAAACGATCGGAGGAGGCCTTGGCGCGAGCTGAGCCCGCCACGTGCGTCCGCGGGAAGTCAACAAGAAGCCGGGGGCCTCGGTCGCCCCCAGACAGCAAGCGGCACCGTGGCCTGAGCAGAGGGCTGGCCTCGCCGCGGAGAACGGCTCGCCTGCAGCCTTCCGCCTGCTCACTCCACCGCCGCAGAACTTCCCTGGGAATTCATTCCTGCATCTGGCATCATTCTGTGACCATCTCTGACCGAAAGCGGAGAGGGAGCAGGGAAAGGCCTGCCCACAGCCATCAGGGGTGGTTCTAATGCAGAATTCCCCATTCCCCAGTTTTAGTCTCCAGACTGGACGTGCACATGGTGGGCCTGTCGTGAGCAGAGCCGGCTGGTGCCGGAGGTCAGACTAGATGGCCCGGGAGACCCCTTCTGACTCGCTCTGTTTCTCTGTTCCTATGTTATTTCCTTGCTGCACCTCACCCTGGAGGGCGGCCTGTGCCTCGCCTGGATGGATGGATGGATGAATGGATGAATGAGCTCGGTGGAAGCAAGACTCCAGAGAGCGCCAGAGAGGCATTTCAGCGGTTTAGAAGGGGGGAAAGGGTGCAAAAGCCGAGAAACCCACACAGGGTGGGTGGCTGGGGGAAGGCAGGTGCCCCCCCCCCCATGGACACTGGGATGGAAGTTCTGCACACCCATCACACTGTCCCGGTCTCGCTCCTTGAGGGTGGGGTGCTTAGACCCCTGAAATGGGAGATTGGCTGAGACGAACAAATTAACTGATTCTGGCAAGTCTGTTGGCCACTGAAGCATTGCTTACGGGCTGCTCCTCCCCCCCCCCCCCACTCCGGCTTTGCGTTTGCTTTTTAAACTCTCCTTTTACACAGAAGCTTCCGGCGTTGGCCCATCTCTGGATGGATCCCAAACCAGGGAACGCCACCTAACACTCCCGGCTGCTTCACTTAAGACATCCCATCATTCCTTCTTCCCCTGGATTCCTGCAATCTTAACATGGCCCCCCATAAGTAATCCCCCCCATCCCGCCACACTCCAGAAGACTTGTTCCAGAGGCGTGGGACCGCAAAGCCTGCCATTCCCAGCCCGTGAGCCGGCAGAGGATCGAAACTGCTGCCGTCTGAGATCAGAAGACCGGAGAAAGACGCTTTCCGCTCAGCTGCCCCAGGGGCCTCCTCAATGTGCCGCGCGGAGAAGAGTTCAAGCCGCGGACGAGTGCGGGCTGATCTCGGGCCAGCATGCAGCTCCCGCACTGACAAGCGTCATGTCCCACGACATCCAGAACCCTGCGCAAAGTGGGCCCGGATCCCGGGGATCCGACGACGCCAGCAGAGGTCTTGGTCCCGCTCCACAGAGGAGACCTCGTGAAGTCCACGGGGGATGCTTTCGGGTGTCCCTGTGCCAAAACAAGGACCCGGCCTGGTGGGCACAGATTTGCCATCTAGGCAGACCCAGCCTGAAAGATCGTCCCCCTGAGAAGCAGGATGAGAAGCTCACCGTTTAATAACGATAGATCAATAGGATGGACAATTGCACTCCGAATGCACTGGGCAGGAATTAGGTGAGGAGACCTTCCGCCACAGGAAGGGCCCTTGTATCGCGGTCCGATCCCCTCCGGTCCCTGGGCTCGAGTCGGGGTGGAAGGAAGCTGCCCCGAATCCGCCCCTCTCGCGCCCAGAGGCCTCCTCCCGTGCTTGGCCCTCGCTCAGGAACTGGCTGAGCCGGGAAACCGGCAACGCTTGCAGAATGAGGGCCGCTGCACACGACACGGGGCTCGCACTGCGGTTGTGCGGGGCTCACATCCGGGGACCCTTCTCAGCGGGAACTCGGCTGCACAGGCACCACCAGGTGGACGTGGGAGCTGAGCCCCGGTGGCCTGGTGGTGCGGGGGCTGGACGAGCCCTGGGAGGCCCGGGCTCAAGGTCCCACTTGGCCACGGGGCTCGCTGGGGACTGTGGGCCGCCCAGCGACCCTTCGCCCAGCCTGCCTCCTCGGGGTGTTGTGAGGATAGAAATGGAGAGGAGGGCTGCCCCGCGCTCCTCACAAGGATTCCTATTTAAATCAAATGCAAATCCACCATATTCTTGCTGGGATACACATGCGATACGACAGTGCTCAGTTAGGGTGGCCTGATTTGCATCAAGGCCATTCAAAGGAGCAATTCCCGCGGGATGCCCAGAAATCCCCAAAATGCGAGCCCTCCAGCCACTTCTTTCGCCCGGCGGCTTCTTGGTGGAAAGACCAGCATGGGGCAGACGAGGCGGGGGCAGCTTTGGGTCACCCCCCTCCCGACCACGCCAGTTGCATCCCCCCACCTGCAGAAACGCCCTCTTTCACCCCGCTCTGGGACCTTCCTGCCCTTGCGGAGCAGCCTGGGGGGCTCCTTCTGTGCCAGTTGCAAGGGGCAGGGGAGCGGAGGCACAGCGCCCACTCCCAGCGCATGTGGGGATCCAAGCTGCCCCACAGCCTGCCAGGATCTGCCCAGGCACTGCAGGATCTCTCCCCCATCCGGGTTTTAAATCAGCAAGGGGACACGTTAAATCAATGATTTCAATCCATTTTCCCATCAAAACGTCTTTTCGTCTGTTTGCTGAGCAATGGGGCGACTCCAGTCACTCAGCTGTGCTCATTTCCACCTAAAGAGTGTTAAAGAATACATTGGGTTTACACTGGGTTTAAAAACAAATCTCCTTTATATTAAATGGAATCTGATTTAATTAAAATAGACTGTTTTAAGAACTGATCTTTATCCACCCCGGTTAATATTTGGAGATCGGGGAACGACCTGCTCCGTTTACAGTCTCGGGCTATCCTTGGGAGGGACATGCAGCCATTCTGGGTCCTTTTAAAGCGGGTCACTCCTTATTCCACTGCATGAAAAAACCTGGATTGCCGGGCGCTTCCGGCCTGCTGGAATCCCGTGGCTCGGCCGGGAGGCCTTCTTACCTGTGTGCCAAACAGGGCTCCGTCTGGAGGTGGTGGCGGTGGCGGAAAGGCGCTGGCCGATGAGGCAAAGCTCCCAGGATCGTGAGGAGGTGGCGGCGGCGGTGGCGGCGGCGGTGGAGGGGGGAAATCACCTGCAGATATGAAAAGGGGAAGAGCACGTCAGGACAGAGGTGCCGGACGCCTCGACGGTGCCGTGGGTATGCCGGGCTTCTGCGTAAGCACTGGCAAAATACGGACTGCGACCCTAGAGAGAAATAACCACACGCGAAGCATCCAGCGTGACTCAGGCTGTGTTCAGGGAAGGGCTGGGAGCGGGGTGCGGGGCACAGTTCTGGACAAAGTTGGCTGGGTTCCTTCCACAGGGCCTGGATGCTGCTGCTTCACGTTTTGCAAAAGTGTTCACAATTAGCAGGCGAGCCGGGGGGGGGGGGGGGGGGGGGGTCTGATCAGACTTCTGGGGACTTGCTACTCTCTCTTGCCTCTGAAACCGACCTAGAGCAAGATGTCGAGGGGAAGGCGGAGGCCCGGCTGGGAGAAGCCCCTGCTGAGAGCCCAGCCGATGCAGAACGGGTTTCGGTCAGACCAGAAAAAGCACAGCCAGGGCAGTCGAGCGGGGCCCGTCCTAGAACAGGAGGGCCAGTGTGGCGGGAAGCAGCGCGGTGCAGTGGTGACAGTGTTGGGCCGGGACTCAGGACAGCCGGGTCCGAGTCCCCGCTGGCCCCGGAAGCTCACAGGGTGACGGGGCCCGTCACGGCACCTCGGCCTGACCCACCCGGCAGCGCGAGGACTGTGCAAGCCACTCGAGGAGGAGGACGTGCGCTGCGGCCCAGCCGTCCTGCGGGTGTGAAGGATGTCGGGGCCGGAGGAGAGACCCCCCTCCGCTGCCTCGCCCCAAGCCGCGAACGGCCACCGAGCCTCTCACGGGGGACACTTCCCGGAATCCACACCATCGGCCACCCCCCGCAATCTGTGCACGCTCAGTCTGCATACGCACTCCAGAAATTCTGGATGGCGACCGACCGCAGGGCTGGGAACGGCCGTTCCAAATGGCAAACTGCTGCCGGGAGCTCCGGCCGGGTGCCGGCCCGTCCTCGCAAGCGCGGCACCCCCAGCCCTGCGTCACGCGCCAGGAGGCGTTCCAGAGGCTACTGCGCGCACGCGGCTGCTGTTCGGAGATGTGATTATATACATAAATAAGGTTGATGTCTGGAATAAACAGCCAAGCGGTGATTTAGGAAGCCTGGTTGCTACCAGATGGTTGGGGAAGCGGCTTGAGTCAGAGCAGGCTGTCTGGGGGCCGCTTCCCACGCCTGGTTGCCGGGAGCCTGTCGGCTCTGGTTTCCGTCTTCCAGGTGGAAGACCCTCGCGAGCACGCGGGCTGCTGAGGAGGGGCTGCTGCGGGGTGGGGGCCGCCTTCCTCCACAGCCGGGGCTGTTCCTCACGGTTGCAATCAACGCGCCGCACCCCTCCGGCCTAACGAGCGTCAGCAGCAGGACGGCCTAAGAGGGAAGGGCGCCGTGGCGAGGAGAACCAGCGCTTCCGAGCGCAGCGAGCCAGCGCCACCGGGCCGAGCCTGGACCCCTCGTCCGGAGGGCGTTGTGCGCCTTGAGGTGTCCCCACTGACGTTACAAGGAGAGGCTTCCCACCTGCATCCGGCAACTCATGTTGGGGTTCCCAAGCTTTTCACGTCGCGGGAAGCAGAGAGACATCTTGCTCCCTTCCAAGGATACTAGACCCCAAAGGAGGCCTCCCATGAGGCGGTTTGGTTTGGTGGGAGAGGCAGGACGGGTCAAAGAGGGGAGAGCACAGGGAAAGCTCTGGACTTCCCCACTGAGCTGAGTGGCGTTGGAGGGAACTGGGCAAATGCCCTGAGGAGGCAATCGAGCGGCCCAAGTCAGGACGGCTGCAGGCTGCCTCCAGGATCAGGGGCAGTGAGCCTGCGTGGGCGAGTTGCTGGGGAACTTGGGCAGGAGGGTGCCCATGACCCCCGGCCCTGCTTGTGCAGCCCTCAAGGCAGCGGGCTGAGCCCTGAGCGGCCCGGACGCTGGACTCGACGGAGCCCGGGCAGATCGGGCCCGGCTCCTCTGATGCTCCCCTGCCCCTGCTCTGGAGACAGGGGGCCTGCCTCCAGTGAGTGGCCTCGGGACCCACGGGAGAAGCCCACACCTCCCCGTCCCGCTGATCCTTCCGACAGCACTGCGCGACGGAGACGGGGATATTCAGCACAGGATATGAATCACAGGAGGATGCAAGGAAATCCAGGAGAATCGCTGCCTCTCTTGAACCGGCAGGGTTAAAACTCCGAGCAAATGCATACATACGCTCTCCAAGGAGGTAGTTCACGACCACCCGCATGCTAAAAATAGGGCGCCAATGCGGAGATAAAGCAAAAATAGCTCTTTTCTTATTCTTCCCCTTCCTCTCCCACCACCAATCCTTGCACAGAACCGTGTAATAATAAAACGGTCTGTCTGAGCAAGCCCCAAGTGATGCCGTCACACGAAGACGCCAAATGCCGGATAAATAGCGAACCTGCTCCTATTTCCAGCTTCTGATGTCAATGATGTGCCCTTACTTTAAAGGATCCGGGCACATCCTCATTTTGTTCCTAAAGCTTGGCATTCCAGGGAGATGAGGCTGATGGGGAAACGCCGGGCACCTTCCCACCAAACGGCCACTGAGACGAGAGGTGCCTGGATCCCGTTGGCCACTCCCGGAAGGCCTCCGTCCAGCCGTGTGCCCCATCTTGGAGCCAGAGCCCCATTCAGGCAGGTGCCCAGAGAGGACCACTTCTGGAGGGGCAGGTGGCCACTTGAGAGACCCCTTCCGGCTCAGCGTTCGGAAGGGGCTCTTTGCAGAGTCGGGATCAGAGCTGAAGCCCGTGGCTGTGCCACCTGCCCTGTGGACTGGCACCCCGAAACAGAGGAGAAGGGGCACCATCCCCCCGCCATCCCAGGTCCAGCACCACTGCCGGCTCGGCCTGACCTCGTCACGCCCTCTTCGGAGGCACCAAAATGGCAAATGCTAATTCGGGAAGCATTAAGAGAAGTCTTACTTCCAAATCACGAGAAGCAGTAGTTCCCCTCTACTTCTCACTAGCCAGACCTCAGCTGGAATACTGTGTCCAGTTCTGGGCACCAAGATTTAAGAAAGATGCAGAAAAATTAGTAAGGGTCCAGAGGAGGGCCACAAAAATGATCCAGGGCTTGGAAACGCTGCCCAGTGAGGAGAGACTGGGAGAACGGGGCATGCTCAGCCTTGAGAAGCGAAGGCTGAGGGGGCGCATGATATCCTTCTATAAGGACCTCAAAGGCTGTCACAAAGAGGAAGGTCAAGATCTCCTCTTGCTGATACCAGAGCGTAAAACACGGAATAATCCATTCAAGTTGCAGGAACCCAAATTCAGGCTGGACACCAGGAAGAGCTTCCTCACTGCCAGAGCAACAGGACAGTGGGACCAGCTGCCTGGGGAGGGGGGGGCTCCCCCTCACTGGGGATGTTCAAGAAGAAACTGGGCAGACCTCTGAGTGGGATGGTGTGGGGTTGGCCCCAAAGACCTTCTTGGTCCCCTCCGGCCCTGCTATTCTATGATTCCAAGCATCAGGTTCAGTCAACCACCGGATGCAATTTGCTGGTAGCCAAGGAAAGAGCAGGTTCCCTTTAGCCCCTACTGGTGGACACCACCGGAACATCCACCTGTCCACTCCTGGGCCCAGGACGCTGGACTAGATGGACTTCCGGTGCCTCTACAGTCATGTGACCTGCCCCATCTTTTGCTCCAGAGAACTCCATTTACGCCAGAGGAGCTGAGCTTCTTTCAGTCTGAGGAACCAAAGTCCATTTTGGAAACGCTTTGGGGACTAAGCTCCTGTCATGAATGAAACCCCGTGAAAAGCCGGTTCCCCTTTGGGCCTCCTCTGGGGTCTTGTGCCCAGTTCTGAGCACCTCTGTTGCAGAAAGATGCAGACAAGCTGGGAAGGGTTCAGATGATCTGGGGGCTGGAGGCAAAGCCCTGTGAGGAAAGATGGAACAACGGGGCGTGCTTAGCCCCGAGAAGAGGAGACTGCGGGGGGGGGGTGGCACTCTGCAAGTACTTGGCGGAGGAAGGACAGAGTGCAGGACACGAAGAGCCACCGGCAAAGGGGCAGGGCCCTGCATACAGAAGACCTGTGCATACTTCAGATTAATGCTCTTCCTCCTGCATCAGGAGAGGCATTTCAACGTTTCAGCCTGAGGAAAACAAGAGCAGAACGGGCAGAGGCTGAGACATCACCAAACAACCGGTTGTCATGGGAGAGAAGGGGGATGCTTGCGGGGAGCCCAAGGGCGCGAGATTCAGGGGGCGGACGAGCCGGGGTTCTGCGCCCTCTGCTCGCAAAGGCACGGGAGCGAAACGGCCCCGTGGACTGTTGGCCAGAACCACATGCCCAAGTGGCGCTTGACTGTCCGAATGCTGACTATTTTTGAAAAATAACTTGTAAAGGTGGGAGGCAGAGCTGAGCGGCTCTCAGTCCAGACTGATCTATGACACCGCATTATTCTTGACTGAAATGTTTAAATGTTTCATGTGGTTTGGAATTAGCTAAAATTCCCCAATGAATTTTTCATGTCCGTCCATATACCATTTCAGCTTTAAAAACTGCGTTTCCACTCCGCTCCAATTATCCGCCTTTACAGCTTCAAAGGGATGTTTGCTCCTGCGGAGTAGCTCGGACTATTAAAATGGCCTCTCATTTTACTGCAGTTAATTAGTTTCAGAATGTCTCTGCTAAAAGCAAAAGACAAAGGGAAAAAGTCGGGCTTCCATCACAGCCCTTGTATCACTCCAGTTTCTTTCTTGAGAAAGGACCGACGGCCATGACGACTCCACAGCTTGAACTGAAAAAGGACGCCTTGTTCTCCCCGGACCTGCAGGCTTCCTGGAGGTGTCCTCTGTCGGAGGCAGAGCACTGGGTCGCCCAATACTAGGTGTGGCACCTTCCGCCATACCGTTCTTCAGTTCTCATCCAAGGTGCCTTCAGAACAAGCAATCTCCAAGTTCCCCAAGGAAGATCCCTGTGATCTTCTCCAAAGATCAGCTTGGGAAAATGGCACCAAGCATCGCATGCAAAAGTTTGCAAGCAATTCCCAA